AAGGGTCAAGGGAGGAGGTGGTGGCTCAATAGCGGTCCAGCACCTTGGCCACAGAATCAGGCGTGACAGGCTGAAAGGTGTCGAAAGTTACTGGGCAAGACGGAGCGCTGGACATCTCTGCTCGACTCACTCGATAGAAACTTGCTGGGGCTATTCAGACGCATGCTGTCCCTGTTTAAAACAGACGTACTTCCCAGCGTTGCAATGCTAGGAAAAGGCGCTCTAAATGTACACAGCAGAGGTTGAGTAGATGCAGCGTTTTCACAACTGTTCTAAGGCACTGATACTTTAATTTCTTCCTAGCATATATTTGGTAAAAGCAAGGCAAGCTCAGAGAAATAGATTTCTGTTTTCAGGACTTTTGGATACAAGCCTCTGAAATGTAAGAAATCCTTTTACCTAGAAACATAAAGCATGTATATTGCAGTGTTAACGAAATTTAAGTCTGACAGTTTAATCTGGAAAGGAATACAAAACAAAATTAGCAACATGAATTCATAAATATCTGCATTGCTTTTGTTGTGAACCATACCAGTATTGTGAATAAACTGGTAACAAAAGCCCCAATAGGATCTTTTATATAGGTTTGTCCTAACTCCAAAGTACCGCTACTGCTAATAAGTGCAAATGTATTTCCTTCTTTAAAGTCCTTATGTTCTCACAATTTAGCCTCTGGATCATGCCAGGTTCTTCTATACAAAATAATTCTTTATCCACATGATAACTAATTTCTACACAAGACAGAAATACATAAATTAGACATGGTGTGAATACTGTAAAATAGATCCCTATTTTTTCCTAAAATAAACATTCCAGATGTTTAGCTTTCCACATAGAGGGGGTCTGCCAGTTCTTTCATTTCACTATTCTTTTTTTCACCATCTTCAGCTTTTAATATGCATTTTAAGTGCAGCATTCTCAGTACAGCACACCCATACATTTGTATAGTATAAGGGTAGTATGTTAAGGTCAGTTTTGTAACTGACATAATTTTTAATATCTCAAAAACCATATCTCCCTTTATAAGCCTGCCCAAGTGTTAATATCATCATGAGAGACTTTTCTCTTGCTCCCGCCACCTTCACAGATGCACCTGGTGGAGATACAGGAAAGGGCCTTCTCTGTTGCTGCCCCTAGACCAGTATGGAGAACCCATGGCATGCATGCCACATGCAGAGCCCTCTCTACAGGCACATGAGCCGTAAGTCGCCGGATCGCTACTCCCTCCCCCGCAACTAAACCTGAGGAGGCGGCTGCAGTCACAGTGCTGACACCCTGACAGGTGGCAGGCCAGAATCCGGAGCAGCTGGCGTTGGCAGTGGATCTGGAGTGGGGTCTCGAGGCACCCCATGCCCAGGATTCCCCCTTCTGCTGCCACTTCTGGTTCTGCCACCTCCACCCTGTGGTTTTTTTCCAGGTTGGGCACTCGGGCCCAAAAAGGTTTGCCGTCACTGCCCTAGATGCTGGAACTCCCTCCCACAGGAGGCCAGGCTGGCACCATCTTTCCTGTCCTTCCACAAGCAGGATTTTTTTCCTAAGCTAAACATTCCAGATATTCAGCTTTCCACATACAGGAGGTCTGCCAGTTTACTCATGATTTATTTAAATCATAGGTAAACATGATTTAAATAAATGAATGAAATGAAATAATTCCTTTTCTAATTGTGCTCAACATGGAATTTGTGATATAAGGTCTCCATGTTTTCATCAAGGCATTCATCACAACAGCAAGACTGCCATCTCAGTTCACATTGATTCTGGCCTGAACCAAACTGCTAGACCAGGTGAGATCAGAACTACTGAATCCTTTATTGAACGTGAAGTCGCTTCTGTAAGTGTATTTATTTATTTAAAACATTTTTATTCCACCTTTCTCTTTTAAAGACAAGAGGCAGCTTATATAATTAAGAACACAATATTAGAGTGTTCTTGGACTGCAACTCTGATAAACCCTGGCCAGCACATCTGGTGGTGAAGGATTCTGGGAAATGCAGTCTAAGAACAGCTGGGTTAGTCAATATTGGGAACCAACATTTTTTTTCCTGAAACGTGCATCATTTTACCCCAATTTATGTGTAATCTCATTTGTCATTTTAATGCCTGTTGCTCCTCTAAATAAAATTGTGTGATCACGTAAGGTCATACGCTCATACCAACACTAGATCACTGACGAACAAATTAAAAAGCACTGGTCCTAATACAGATTCCATTTATATCACTCCATTCTGAGAGCACAGTAAAAATATTTAACATGCATTCGAGTTCCAAAGAAAGAAAACCTAACAACAGCACTAACTATAGGTCATTGTATTAATTTCCTATGCAAGCAAAGCGATGCTTAAGATTTTAAAGCACATACTTTTATCACATATAGATATAATATATGATAAAAGTATGTGCTTTAAAATCTAAAATATGCCAACTATTCAGAATAGATTCTGGAGGGAAAAAAAGGTACTAGAGATTATACTGCAAATATATATTGGCTACTGAAGGATGCCAAGGAATTCCAGAAGAATATTAACCTGTATAAATTACAGCAGCACCATTAACGGTATGGGTCATGAAAAGCTATGGATAATTCTAAAAGAAATGAGTATTCCACAATATTTATTGTCCTGATGGACATTGGTAAAGGCAATAGACAAAGAGGTATTTTATTTTCATATCTGTTCCATCTGTATGCAGGACGTATATGAAAAACTGTAATAGATTAAAATTGAGGAATGAAAATTATTGGTAAAACATCAGTACTTTAAGAGATGTGGATACTTTCATATTGAGTCTCCATATTAGTCACACATTGTTATTCTCTCAATGTAAATATTAGTACAGTAGTTAGTTTCTGCAAGTTAACAAATTGACACAGGCAGTTGTTGCATATCAGTTGCATGACTCAATACAACAGCAAATATCTATGCTTAACTTTAGAGAAATTTACACCTGAAATTTAAGTCTATGGAGTTATGGCAATATAATATTTCAGCTGGATTCTGGCCATTATAGTCTATTTAGAGAATCTGCTCTGGTTCATTTTTGTTATCACTTCCATTGCATGACTATGGTTATAAGCAGAATATACATGTACTGTATAGGCAAACACACTTCCATAAGGACACAGTTGATCTTATAGTAGCATATGATACTGCCCACCATCAACTGCTCCTCAAAATCTTTACTTCCGTGGTTCCCTACCTTCGGTCCCCAGATGTTCTTGGGACTACAACTCCCAGAAATCCTGGCCAGAACAGCTAGTGGTGAAAACATCTAGGAGCTGTACTCAAGAACCTCTGGAGACTCAAGGTTGAGAACCACTGTTCTATCTCCTTACTAAAAATCATGGATTAACAGAAATAGTCAACATTCTACTTCGACACTTAGATTCTTTGTTGAATTTCAAGGAAGGCACAGTCACTGGAGAAATCAAATCAATGGTCTCCC